CCACAGGCTCTTCCTCATTGACCTCCTGTCCCCCCTTCCAGGAATGCCTTCCTCTTTTGCTGCTTAGCCAACTCCTACACACCCTGCAAAACCTCCCTCGTTGCCACCTCTCCTGAGGACCCTTCCCCAGTTACCTCAGTGCTGACGGCCTGCCTGTCCAGTGCTTTCTTTATGTCCCGCTTCTCCCCCAGGACGGGCAGCTCCGACCCCAGCATCTCATCATGTGTCTCCGGCATCACCCAGCTGGGCCCCCTGGGGCCGTGGCTAGTGTTTGATGAATGACTGAGTGAGGGGCTCCCTCCACCATCACCACCAGCGAGATTTTCATAGGTTCCTGGCCACGCGGGCCTGGCCTGGGGCTGGGCTCTGCCGGCTGTTCTCAGGGCGGTGGCACCAGACGCCACCTGCTGAGAGCGAGCTGGGAGCTTCCCCGGGCGCAGGGCCCAGGGCCCAGGATACCCGGCCCCACACGGGACTCCCACTCTCAGAGAGAGCTCTAGAATCCTCTGCAGATTGAAGCCTCGGCCCTTCTTGTGTTACAGGCAAGGAAACTGAGGAATAGAGGGAACGGGACTTGCCGGAGACCACGCAGCAGCCAGGGGCCCAGCTCACGTCTCTGTCCCTCTGCCCCCGCTCAGCGCAGAGACTGATGAATAGAAGTGAGGGGTCCCCGAGCTTAAGGGGCACACCTGGGCCAGGCCAGGGGAAGACAGGTGACTGCAGAGGCTGGGGGTGCCCTGCAGGGCCGGGGTGGCAGCTACAGGCGGGGACACTCACGGGTGGGGCTTGACGCGGATGTAGTTCTTGGGAATAAAGCCCTCAGCACCTCGCAGCTCAGCCTTGTACCAGTTCTGGTCGTCTTCCATGTTCAGGATCTGCGGAGGGAGACACGGTCACTTGGTGACCGCAGAGGGACAGCTGCCACCAGCTGAGGTCCCGCTGCTCAGGGACCCCAGGTGGGCGGCACCCATGGCAGCCCAGGACCTGCTTCACAGGGCGGGTTGGGGACTTGCCCCAGTTCACGAGAGCCATCGTGTCTGATTTCAGGGCCCAGGGCAGCCCGTCCCCAAGCGGGTCACAGACTCCCCAGGTTGGACGGCTGGGGACCCAGAGGAGGTTTGGGTCAGTGCGTTGAACTTTAGGGGGGCTGGAGCCGGACTCCCAGGCAGATTGGGGGGGCAGATCTGGGGAGCCTCAGTTCCTGGGCTGTGCCCCTGAACATGGGGTCTCTGCAGCATTGGTGGGCCGTGCACCAGCCACGGGGTGAAGGTCGGAGGGACCCTGGAAGGTCGGGGATCCCGCCAGAGCTCAGCGCCCACCGCTGGCCGCCTGGGCTCACTTCCATTTAAACAACCCTTCTCATCCGAGCTCAGGGGTGACAGTGTAGGGGAGCGGGGATTCAGGTACCAGAGAGCAAAGTGAGGGAGGCCTTCGGGCTGGGATGCGGCCGAGGCCTGGCCTGCCCGGGTCACGTGGGCTCCTTGTCCGTGGCCGGAGACGTCTGTAGCCCCGCAGGTGCGCCCGGAGGAACCGAAACAGCCCGAGCCCGGCTGGTGGTTGCAGTGGATGAGCGACCAAGCGGCCGCAGGGAGGAACAAGCCAGGCCTGGGGGGGGAGGGGGGGGGAGGGACAGCACGAATCGGGGGGCCCCTTCCGCCTCCCCCTGGGGCGGAGCCTTCTGTGGGACAGCTCATCACCAAAGGCTGTTTCACACATGGGGACACTGAGGCCCAGAGATGGGAGTAGAGCAAGGAGGCGCATTGCAGTATCAAAGGGCCTGGGGCAGGGCAATGCAAGGGCATCAACTGGGTTCCATTTTGCCAGGAAGAGCCGGGGTGCGCTGCCTGGGACCCAGGCCTTGCAGGCAGGCACCCCCCTTGTCTGTCTGCCAGGGCCCATCGAGCTCATTCCTTCCTGACTCTGTAGCCTGGGCAAGGTCAGCAGCCCCAAGACGGACGGAAGCAGGTGGCTGACTCAGGAAAACTTTGGCTGAAAACAAAACAAAAACAATCCCCCCACTTAATGGGGAAATTATAGCCTGCGGGTTGTCTTCATGGCCACAGACTAGAGGAAGATGCACTGGAGCCAGGGGCCCGGCTACTCTGTCTGCCTCTGCCTCTCTCCGTAGTCTCGGCATCAGTTTTCTCATCTGTGAAACGGGTACATGTATGGCCTACGCCGAATGTGGCAGTGTGTTCCGACTAGAGGTCTGTGTGGACACGTGAATGTGACACATCTGATAGAATCTCTGTGGTTTTTTAAAACTTTATTTTGTTTTCTTATCATCTCCACTCCGAGGACCCAGAAATGTTCTCATCAGTTACATTAGCTGAATTCTTTTTTTTTTTTTAAGTTCCTAGGTCGAACTAATTTTTTTAAAAATATCTTATTTATTTCTAGGAGAGAGAGAGAGAGAGACAGCGTGAGCAGGGGAGGCTCAGAGAGAGAGGGAGTCACAGACTCTGAAACAGGCTCCAGGCTCTGAGCTGGCAGTCAGCACAGAGCCCGACGCGGGGCTCGAACCCACGAACCGCGAGATCATGACCTAAGCGAAAGTCGGACGCTTAACTGACTAAGCCACCCAGGCGCCCCAAGTCGAACTAATTTTTAAGTTACTTTGTTTCTGTTGAAAGAGAGCGCACGAGGGAGGGAGGGGCAGAGAGAGAGAGAGGGACAGACAGAATCCCAAGCAGGCTCTGTGCTGTCGGTGCAGAGCCCAAGGCGGGGCTCAAACTCCCAAACCACGAGATCATGAGCCGAAATCAAGAATCGGACCCCCTTAACTGACCGAGCCACCCTTGTGCCCCAGATCAGCTGAATTCTTAACGTTAAAATTTTCCAAAAGCCACAGACCCCCTGGGCCATGCGAATTCACACAAAGGCGGGAGACCAGCTCCTCCCTGGTGAAGTTCACACCGTGGCTTGCCCCCCAAGCCTTCGTCACCATGGGTGCCCTCCAGCCAGGACGCCGAGCACCTGCTGTGTGCCGCACACCACGCTTCGTCCTAGACAGACAGCAGGGAACAGGCTTACACTGTGGTGGCCGGAGGCAGACAATAAAGAAAGAAGGAAACAACAGGTAATTTCGGGTAGGGGTGAGTGCTCTGAAATAGATCGAGGATGTGGCTGAGGGCAGGCAGGGTGGTCAAGAAACCCTCTCTGAAGCGGTGACATGTGGACTGAGACCCCACTTACAGGAAGGACTCAGACGAGAGAACATGTGGGGAACAGTGTCCAAGACAGAGGGAACAGCCAGCGCGGAGGCCCTGAGGTGGTAGCAACGTTCTCAGAGCAGAGGGGAGGCCAGCGTGTCTGGGGCTGAGGCGGGAGGGGAGTGCTGTGAGGAGAGGTGGGGAGGGCTGGCCGGGCAAGAGCACGGAGGTCTTGTTCGCCACGGGAGGCTATTCAGATGTCACTTTGAAAGCCAAGAGAAGGGACACTGCGGTGGCTCAGACCATTAAGCCTCTCAAGCTTAACCTTGATTTCAGCTCAGGTCATGACCTCACGGTCTGTGGGATCGAGCCCCACGTCCGGCTCTGTGCTGACAGCGCGGAGCCTGCTTGGGATTCTCTCCCTTCGTCTCTCTCTGCCCCTACCCTGCTAGCACTCTCACTCTCTCAAAATAAATAAATTTAAACTTAAAAAATAAGTAAATAAATAAAAGCCAAGAGCGCTGGCAGCTGCCACCGAAAGGCTGTCGGGAGCAGTTGGGGGGCTCGGGGCTGACTGCACTGGCTCTGAGGTGCCATCGACCTTCTCTCTGGAGACGCCAAGGAGGCTGTGGGCTCCCTGAGTCTGGGTCTTGGGGGCCAGGTCATCCATCGAGGCACGGGGTGAAGCACCGCCGCCCCCTCCTCCAGCTGGAGCACCCGGCGCCTGTGTACCCGGAAGTGCCCAGCCCCTCAGGGAGGACGCTTGGCTCCGGGGAAGTGATGTCAGGGCCACCGGTCCCGAGCGGGTCTATGTGCCACCTCTGTGTGCCACCGCGGTGGTTTCCTCACCCGGGGCTCCCAGAGGCCGGGATCTGCTGGTGGCCGCTTCCGGGACGGGGCCCGGCCCACAGGGGGCGCTCACGCCCAGGAAACCTCCCTTGGAAGAATGAGGGGGATGGTTCCCGGAGCTGCACCCCACCCCACCCCAGCCAGGCGAGGGAGGGCCACCGGGCACCCCGCGCCCCGGCGCCGCCCCCAGGGAGAAGAGGGCGCACAAGGTGACAGCGTGTTTGCAGGTACACAGCGGGAGGGCTCGGTGCCTGAGGCGGGTGAGGCACCTCGAGAGCGAAATTTAAGGGGGGGCGGGTGTCAAGAAACTCAGGAATCAAGACAAAGAATATTTTAAGACAGTATGTTAAAAAAAATAAAAGCGATGCAGAAAATCTGATTTTTCTGTAAATCTGATGCTGTTTGGGGGGGCGGGGGCTGGGTGGCTCAGTAGGTTAATTAAGCATTCCACTTCAGCTCAGGTCATGATCTCACGGTTCATGGGTTCAAGCCCCGCGTGGGGCTCTGTGCTGACAGCTCGGAGCCTGGAGCCTGCTTCCGACCCTCTGTCCCCCTCTCTCTGCTCCTCCCCACCCAGCCTCTCAACAATAAATAAACATTAAGAAAAAAAACAAACAGCTTCTGGGGGTGGCTGGGTGGCTCAGTCGGTTAGGAGTCCAACTCTTGGTTTTCAGTTCTTGGTTTCATGATCTTACGGTTTGTGGGTTCGAGCCCTGCATCCGGCTCCATGCTGATGGTGTGGAGCCTGGAGCCTGCTTCCGATTCTGTGACTCCCTCTCTCTCTGTCTGCCCTTCCCATGCTCGCACCCTGTCTGCCTCTCAAAATAAATTAACACTTAAAAAAATTTTTTTAAAAACTTCTGCAAAATAAAGCCTGTTTAAAAGCTAATGCAAAAAAAAAAAAAAAAAAAAAAAAAACCCACCAAGAAACCAACACAAAAAAAAGCTAATGCAAAAAAAAACCATCCAAACCCGATATAAAGGCAGGATGGGACCTTGCACCTGCGTGTGCACGAGCGCGCTGCCCACCGCCTCACCCGGCCCTGGAAGAATTGCTTGTTGGCTGCAGAACAGGTGAGATGTGCAGAAAGACTAAAGAGGAAAATGTGAATAGCTCACAGCCAACCTCCCCAAACCAACAATGGCTGGCTTATCAGGTCATTTCTTTCTAGTCTTTTTTTTTTTTTTCTTCTGGGCACAAATCCAGAAAACTCAGTTTTCCCCTCCACAAAACCAATATCCATAGATTATCTGTGTAGAGGTGAACCTCTGTCTGTGTGGATAGATTTGGATTCTGCTTTTTGCCACCGAATGTTGAATCCTGAGCTTTTTTATGCCATGAAACACCCTCCCCAAAGAGCGTTTTCAGGGCTGTGTAATAGTTGGGACTAAGCCGGTAACACAGGTTAATTTCACACTGCAAACCCGCACCACCGCACCCCACCTCTCACCTGCTCTATTTTCCCCTACACACCGTCTCCATCTAACAATCTCTGTGTTTTACTTATTTATCTGGCCTGTAGCCCACGTCTGCCACCAGAATCAGCTGTGAGAGCAGCGACTGGGCCCTCCAGGACCAGGGTCACATTGAGTGCTCCCTGAGTCCTTTATGAAAGAACACACATACATCTCTGATTATGTCTCGCTGTCCCAGAGGCAGAATTGCTGGCTCACATACATGGATATTTTTATGGCTTTTTAAATGTTTCCCAAGTTTCCTTCAAAATAATCGGCACTCTACTTGCCCACCACCCACATGTAAAAGTGCATGTTTTTCCACATCCTCAACAACCTTGGAGATTCTTTTTAAAATAAAATTTCACTGATCTGCCAAATGGGAAACTATTACTTGGTTTAACTTGCATGTCTTTTGTTATTGGTGAAATTGGGCACTTATGTGCTTATGTTTGCTTCTTTGGCAATTTTCCCATTCATGTCTTTTGCCCATTTTCTATTGTGCTGTTTGTGATTTTCTTGTTGATTTATAAGAACTCTTTACATATTAAAGACTTTAATATTTTGTCATCTTTTTAGGTTAGGCCACCTTCATTTCTTACCTACCTAATAGACTGCAAGATCTGCCTCTGCTTCTGTTCTTGCCCCCTCTGTTATCTTCTCAAAATGTAAACCCAATTCAGTTTTTTTCCTTGCTGAAGACTCTTGAGTGAGTGTGCCTCAAATTTAGAATGAAATATCCATCCTTCACAGGTCCTAATTCCTGCTTACCCCCCAACATCATCCTTACCCTGTGCTTCTCTTCCCTCACTGCACTTCAGCCATAGACCTTTCTTTCAGCTCTTCAAACGCACCGATATGGCCCTGCCTCAGGGCCTTTGCATCAGCTGTTCCCTCTCACCTGGTGCCCTCTTTCCCCGGCTCTTTGCATGGCTGGTTCCTGCTCATCCTTCACTTCTCAGCTAAGGTGTTACCTCTTTTTTTTTTTTTTTTTTTGTAAGCTCTACGCCCAATGTGGGGCTTGAACTCATGACCCGAGATCCAGAATCGCATGCTCCATTGACTGAGCCAGCCAGCCGTCCCCTAGATGTAACCTCTTTGGAGCGACAGTCCTGGCCACCCCACCTAAAGCTGTCCCACTGTCCCCTCCCTCCCGCTGGCCCTCTGCATTTCATCTCCCCGGGTTGATTTCTTCAATCCACTTATCACCCCCTGGTGTCACGCACTCTCTGGAATGTCAGCTCTAGGAGGGCAGGGCCTCTGCCTTGCTCGTCGCTGTATCCTCAGCACGTAGGACAATGCCCGGCCCAGGGCGTGTGCTCCATAGCTTGACAAATGTTCGTGGAAGGAAGGAAGGAAAGAAAAGGCCACTCTTCCCATTGCCTGTCATTCCTCCATCATTCTTTGAGCTTGAAAGGTCCCCTCATCGGTCTCCGTGGACATGAGGGACACCCACGTTTCAGCTAACACTTGAATCTTTCCTTCCTTCCTTCTCTCCTGCAACATTCCCCGTGTCTTACTAAGCGACTCCTGCACGCCAGGCACTGATTCATGTCCCGGGGCCCTGAGGGGGTCCCTGTCCTCAGGAGCTCACTCACTCATTCCTGCCAGCTCTTCTGGTAAAAGCACGCGCACCAGGAGCTGGCTGACGCCTCGGCAGAGGTTAGCGGGAACCTTGACTAATACTGGGGTGGGTGTCGCAGGCACGGAACCTGGGAGGAAAGTGCAGATGTCACAGTCTTTGCTACAATTGCTCGGGGGACACCTACCAACGCACCCCATTCACCGCTGGCTGGTCACTCCCAACCTCATCCCTATTTCCTCGCTGTGCTCCCCCTCCAAGACCTAAATCTGGGTCCACAGACCCCAAACTGCTCCCAGATCAGTCAGTGAGGTCCCTGAACTAGACCTGGCTCTCACGAAAGGTCTCACACCTGGCAGGGAGGTGCTGGTGCTAGCCTGCCCCTCGTCCCCAGCTGGCCACCTGTCCCCAGGGCCCCCAGACAACACTCAGTTTGGCCCCGGTGCAGGCTTCCCGGCATAGAGAGGAAGGGAGTCCCTTAAGGGGACACGGTTCATCTTGGGGAATGTCATGCTCCCCAAACCTCAGCCCAGCCTCACAGGGACAGAATGAAGGTTCCAGAGTCAAAGGACGTAGAGTCACCCCAAATCTGGCCCCTCCCTGTGCCTCAGTTTAGTCACCTGTGAAGGGGGGCACTGACTCTCCCCACCTCAGCAGCCTAACTGGGACCTGAGTGTGCATTGCTGAGCTCGGCACCTGGCTAAGGTACCGTGCCAGCAAACGGGAGATCCTGTCCCCTCCTCCTGAAGCTTGGGACCAAGAGCAGAGCCCAGCAGGGTGCAGAGACGCCCCTTCTAATGGCCACGGCTCCAATGTGGAGACTGAGGCCCAAGGGGGGGAAAGTGACTTCCTTAATGTGCGACAGCGGCACTCCGGTGCCTAAGTCTTAGCCTGGCAGCCCCTGACCCCTGCTCACATATGCAGAGTTAGAAGCGGGGACGTTTCCAGAGAGGGCGCCCACGAACCCATCTGCCCGGACCACCTTGCCACGATGTTCATCAAAAAGGGGAACCTGGGCTGGCTCAGTCGATTGTGTGTCCGACTCCTGATTTTAGCTCAAGTCATGATCCCAGTCATGCGGAATGGAGCCTGCCTAAGATTTCCTCTCTCTCTCTCCCTCTGCCCGTCCCCCCTGCTCACACACGTGCTCTCGCTCTCTGTCTCTCTCGCTCTCTCTCTCAAATAAAAAATAAACAATAAAAACTAAAGAAAGGGGGGCAGACAAGGAGACACGAGCTGTGGTACGACTCTCCTTTCCCTTTTCTCCACACTGCTGGGAAGCTCATTCTTACACTTCAGCCACAGTTCTTTCTACCCAGTAGGTGAGTGTGTGCACCTGATTCTTTCCTAAGAGCTCTTCTATCCTTCCCTCCCTCCCTCCTTTCAACTGTCTTTTCAAATTCTTCGCCAGAAAACTAGGCGTTGAACCAACTCCTGCCAGGCGCTATGGTAATGTCTCCTTGAATTCTCGCGACGACCCCCAAAGGACGGGTCGTAATTAAGTATCTCCCCATTTCCTAGATGAGGAAACTGAGGCACAGAGGGAGGAGGTGGCTTGTCCGGAATCCCACAGCCAGTAACTGGAGAAGCTGGGCCTGTCCTTCTCCAGAAGCCGGACTCTGTTTGGGGGCTGTCCTGGGCCCCTGATTCTTACCCCACCCCCCCATTCCACGTGTAGGCAACTCGGCCCATTCCAGCCACCCTACCTTGAGCGTGTCCCCCTTGTTGAAGCCCAGCTCATCACTCTCCGTGGCCTGGAAGCTGTACAGGGCCACGGACTCCATGCCGCTGTCCCCAGGTCCCAGCAGCTGGGCTCAGAGCAGGGTCACAGCTTCCTGCTTCCTCTGCGGTCGAGGACCCGTCTTCCTTTGTTTTGAGAGCGTGTGTTCTTTTGAGGCTGCCCCTGAGGGAGGAGAAACAGGAAGCAGACATGTCACCCTGCGCCAAGAGCGCGTGAGCCGCCCAGCCTCTACGGCAGACCCCGAAGGCCAGGTGCGGCTCGCGGGGAGTCCCCGGGGAGCCCTGGGAGCGGATCTTTTGCCCAAGTCACAGACAAGAGGTTCCCAGAGAAATGTCCCCAGAGCCATCCCAGCAGCTCAGGGTCCCAGGTACCCGCACCAACTTGCCGATCTGCCCTCCACATTTTCTAAACGCCGGTGCCCCTCAGGGCTCCCCAGTGCCTGCTACATCAACCCCAAGCCCCTTGCCTGACATTCAAGGCCCTTCCAAGCCACCACCCCCACCCCCCACCACACTCCTCTCCAGCCCCACCCTCTGTTATCTCCTTTCCCTGTAAACAGACACTGGGCCCCGGCCCTAGTAGCGGGGACACACCACTCTTTCGTTCCCTAGCCTTTGGCACACGCATGTCCATTTGCAGGGTCCTCTCTTCCCCTTTCTCTTCCCGGGAGACTCCTATACATCCATCAAAGCCCAATATGGAAGGCGCCTCTTCCGGTTTAAACATCGGGCAGTGCGATTGAGATCCGAAGGTTGGAAAGAACTGCAAGTAAACTTGACCTTCCCCTAGTAGGTTTGTTATGGGCCGTGGAACTCTGGAGCAAGTGAGTGAGTGCTGTCGGAAGGAGCATAAGCGGATAAATACGGCGGTATTGCCCAGAACCCCCGTTCTCTCCAGGAAAGAGAGGAGACACAAACCCAGAGGAGGAAGGCGAGGAAGGGCCTGCGGTGTGGGATGCGAGCCGGATGGATCAGTGTGAAGCCAGACTGCGTTCTTCCTGTAAAAGCATTTTTTCCTCCTTTGTTTATATCAATGTAGGTACGTCATGCGTTCGTGTTTAGTCACTGCAAGGAATGATCTGAAAGGCTCAGAGGACCCCAGATTCGGCCAGTGGGACCCCTTTCCAGCTGTCTCCTTGTTCTGTTGCCCCTCAGGCTCCCCGGAATGATGACAAGTCCCCACCGTTCTCTGAGCACTTCCTCTCTGCCAGTATGTTCCAGCTTCCTGTAAGACTTCTCCTGCTCCAGCCCTAAAATCAGCTGCAACGGGGGGGGGTGGGGGGGGTGGGGGGTGTTAACCGGGATGAGCTGGCGTTCGTTATGCTTATCACTCTGGTGTTGTTATTCCTTCTAGAATTACAGGCAGAGCGAGGGGGAGGTGCGTATAACCACACACACGCATTCTATGAAAATATATTCACCTGTAAACTTATTATATATATAAACTTATTATAAAATTATATATATATATAGATAGAAAGAGAGAGAGGGGGAGGGAGGTTCATTAGATATGAGTCTTTAGAAATAGAATTCCTGGGGGGCGCCTGGGTGGCTCAGTCGGGAGAGCATCTGACTCTTGATTTTGCCTCAGGTCATGGTCATGAGGTTTGTGAGTTCGAGCCCCATGTCAGGCTCCCTGCAGAGCCTGCTTGAGATTCTCTCTCTTTCTCTCTCTGCCCCTTCCCCCCTCCTCTCAAAATGAATAAAACACAAACTTAAAAAAATATATATAATTCCTAGCGGACAGAGTATGTCCATATGTCTACATTTATTTCTATGTGTGTATATACGGGTAATAGAGTAAAAGCCATGAACTCAATCAGATATGAATTGGTGAACACAGGTGAGGGTGTATGGGTGTCATTCTGCCCTTCCTACAGCTTTTTGGAAGGTTTGAAATTTTTCCATGTAGAAAGTTGATAGGATATACATGAATCTACAGTCTTCTTCAAGTCAAAGGTTTAGGTAAAAAAAAAAAAAAAAGTTGTGGATCCAGAAGAGGCATGTGGCAGAGGCCGTGGGAGCCCGAGATGGCCAGGCCCTGGCTGGCGCCCCACAACCCCTCCCTGTCTTCCGCTGCCCCAGCCCCCGGTGCGACAGGATGTCATAAGGCTCTTCTTTCCGGCTCAGTTTCAGCTCAGGCTTCAAAGCCCCAAAATGGTGCAGTCAGGGCGTTGGGACCCCCCCCAAATCCGAGGTGCCAGGGGTGGAAAGGGACTCCTTATTCAGGAGGCCATGTGTCCCCTGGGGCTTGGGGGCCAGGTGGCTGGGTCAGTTTATGCTTTTCAGAGGACTTGTTCTGGACCAGGACACACACAGAAGAGGTGAGTAGCTCTTCTAAGGGCCTAGGGCTAGTAAGGGCTGGGGTTCAAGTCCAGACAAGCCTGAGCCATAATCCCTGGGTCACGTGACCTCAGTCTGGTGCCCCGGCCACTCTCACAGCAAGTTGAAGGAGTGGTGCCGGCAGCGGGTGGCAAATCGTGGCAGCGCGAATGCACCGAATTCCCAGAGATCCGACGGGACCCCCCAGCAGGGCCTTGACCGAGATGGCCGCTGGCGGCTGCGGGCACCCCAGCTGAGGGTGGGTGGCGGGGCCTGGGAGGAAGGGGCATCAGCTCTGCCAGCTGGGAAGGGCTTCGAGCCCGCGGGGGGAACTGCAGCCGCGGTCCCCACGGATGTCCCTCAAGAGCTGCCCACGGGAGGCGAAAATCAGCGAGCGTTGGTCACTAGGGGGCCGCAGCAGAAGCAGCCACAAAAGACGCGCAGCCTTAGACCCTAACCCCTGTGGCAGGCCAATCAAAGGTCCAAGGCCCAAAGACACCCAGGTCCTAATCCCGGGGCCGGCCCTGCGAAGGTCCCCTCCTCTGACCAAGGGACCTCTCAGATGCGGCTGAGGTGAGATCTTGAGATGTGAGAGGATCCTGGGTTATCTGGGCCCCAGGGTAACCTCAAGAGTCCCATGAGAGGGAGGCAGGGGGGAGGCCTGACATAGAAGCGTCAGGAATGTAACCAAAACCCTATGCTACCTAGGCTTGCGGCTTTGAAGACGGAGGGAGGGACACCAGCCAAGGACGCCGGGAGCACAGCTCTGGGAGCTGAGAGCGGCCCCACGCGGATTCTCCCCTGGAGGCTCCAGAAGGAGGGCCTGCCCTGGCCTTGACGCTAGCCCACAAAGACTTCCGGCCTCCAAAACCGTACAGAATTCCCTCATGTCGTTAAAGCCACTCGAGCTTGTGAGGACTCAGTACAGAAGCCACAGGAAACAAACACACCCATCGCCCTTGGGGCTGACCCTGCAGGGATCAGAGATAGAAATGGCAGCTTGAGGGGCGCCTGGGTGGCCCCATCAGTTCAGCGTCCGACCTCGGCTCAGGTCATAATCCTGCGGTTCACGAGTTTGAGCCCTGCGTCGGGCTCTGTGCTGACAGCTAGCTCAGAGCCTGGAGCCTGCTTCGGATTCTGCGTCTCCCTCTCTCTCTGCCCCTCCCCTGCCCACAATCTGCCTCTCTCTCTTTCAAAAAAAAAAGGAAAATTTTAAATAATTAAAAAAAAAAAGGAATCACAACTTGAGACCTTAGAGAGGAAGACAGAGAAATTGATCCAGGTCTGGATCTGGGGCCGGGGCTCGGGGAAAGTGCAGTTTCAATGAATGCCCTGTAATGGTCAGACTGGACGGCACCATTCACCTCCCACGGAGGCAGGATGGGGGACTTTTTATTATCAGATATTGACTGAGACATCTGAGGGCTCTCCCTGAGTCTTCATCCCGGGCAGGGAGGGAGAGCATTTGTCAGGGAAAGTTCAAGACAGTGGAGAGAAAGGGTCACGTTGTTTTCGGGCTCCTTCACTTAACTATTTCTGGAGCCCCTCCTCCGCGCCCAGCTCTGCGTGAGGTTTTGTGCATTTTCACCAGTGCGGTGGAGACAAAAATCAAAACGAAACAGAGACAGACATCGGGCAGACCCAGCACAAGGGGGTGCCACAGACCTGCCTCCTCATAACACCGGTGAAAACCAGTAAACAAAACCGAACACGTATTTAAAGCTTCTGGAAACGGTCCAAAGGGTGAACAGACAATGAAAAAACCCATTCAAGAACATTTAGGAAAACTCGGTAAGATGGGTGGTAGCCTGTGACATTGGAAACAAGAACACTTCCCCTCTTCACCCTCCTTCCGGCTCAGTGAGGTGAAGACTCCAGATCACTTCAGCCTACGGCATAGGTCCCCTCCCCCAGCCCGAGAACACTGGACCCCTGTGGGGGGGGAACAATCCGGGGCGAGCCTGGCCACGAGGATGGTGAAAGAATTCACCCAGGGCGGAGCAAAAGACACAGAGGTCTGTTGCATACAGAAGGCAGCAGCAGGCAGGACAGCGAGGAGAGACTCGAAACGCATCCAAAGGTTACGACGACAGATCAAGGTTAACCCCCCAAAGGGGTGCAGATTGATTTGTGAGAGCAGGACACAGAGCGGGGAGCAGCTCCAGGAAAGTCACGACTTCTGACCAAGTGTATTCGGCGCAGTCACCCTGAAGAAGGTGGAGAATGAAGACTTCTGATCGGGAAGGAGAGATCCCCAGAGCCTGTGCGGGAAAGTAGGGAGTTTTTCTAAGATAATATAATAGAATGATTGAATGCGAGAGAATGGGGGCAGGCAATGGACCAGAGTCACGGCCTCTAGGCCTTCGGGGTACGGATCACCTGAGTCTCATTTGTTTTTTGTTTTTTTAAATTTTTAATGTTTTTTACTTATTTCTGAGAGAGAGAGAGAGAGAGAGAGAGTGAGCAGGGAGCGTCAGAGAGAGAGGGAGACACAGAATCTGAAACAGGCTCCAGGCTCTGAGCTGGCTGTCAGCACAGAGCCCGACGCGGGGCTCGAACCCACAAACCGTGAGATCATGACCTGAGCTGAAGTCGGATGCTTAACCGTCTGAGCCACCCAGGCGTCCCACCTGAGTCTCATTTGAATAACGTGTAGTTCTGCAACGGCCCACAGCTGTACCTGGCGGAGGCCTCCTCTTCCGGGGCAGGAGTGGTCTTGATTCTGGAAAGATGCGTCCCCGTGGAGAAGCAGCGAAGGGCTACCACTGCTGGAGTGGCCGGGAGAACTTGAGAGGACCCCGTTCAGACAGGTTCACG